CCCCCCCCCCCCCCCCCCCCACTGGAGCCACACTATGCTGTTGCCCCCTCTCAGGGGCCACAGTACCGCTTCTTCTCTGTCTGGGGCCTCTGGGGTCCTAATTTCCCCCTCCTGGGGCTCAGGTGCCTGGCCCCCCTCCTACTGTAGGCGTGCCTGGCCCCCCTCCTACTGTATCCTTCTACTCATCACCCACTGAGCAGTGGGGCTGGGGTTATAAGGCACTCCTACCCACCTTTCACCAGGGAGGTAACTGGCCTGGCCTGGCACTTCCTGGGGACTGTCCCACAACAGACAGCTCCACCAGGCCAGGTGCAGTTTCAAGTCATACCCAGGACCCAGGATTAGCTGTTCTGAGAGGTTTTTCCAGCCACTTGGTAGGAATTACTAGCTGAAAGTGTTCAGCAACCAGAGAGCCAGCAGGGGGAGCTGGCAAGTGATGTCATCCCATAGCTTGATACAGAAAAAAGGGAGTTTAAGGACATAGATGTCAATTTTGAAACTAGAAATTTAGGTTGTCTCAAATGGAAAATTTGCTAGAGGGCAAAATGGCAAGTTTCTAAGAAGGTTGGAACGTTACTACATTTCTGATATCTTTTTTTCACCTGAAAAAACAAAACAGAAAAGTGGCTTCTTTATTATGTTATGCATTTCTGAAAAAACACAAACTTATTTAATTCATAGGTAGTTTTCTGGAAATGAGGTAGTCATGACTCTGACTTCTGATGTATCACAAGCATGTTATTGTATATATTTACAAAAAATCTAAATAAGAGATGCAGTATGACTCCTTTGTTAGTATTAGACATGATCTCCATAAAAAGGAAAAGAAGCCAAATCCGATTATAACCCTTAATTTTGTAGTATCTATAAAAAGAGGGGGAAGTTGCTCATGAGTGGTGTAAAGCATTTGTAACTTTGATTTCTTGGGGTTTTTCAACTGTACTCTTTGCATATAAAGCTTAAGATGAATAGTGTAATTGAGTGAAAGGTTAAATAAGATTTTAATAAAGTTTTAAAAGCGTCTACCTGGAGAACATGGGCTTTAATTTTACCTGGAAAACTTGCACCATTTTTGACTAAAGATTCTGTGCCAGAATTCAATGCTTAATTTTTTTTTTTAAATTTTCTACCT